TTCTTCAGGTGATATTATAATTCCAAAATTTCCGATGAGCTAAAGTTTGCTGTTCTTTTTTTTTAATTTTTCTTCTTGAGAATACACGACAATTAATTAAATGTATGCAAAAAAACAAACAAAACACGTGTTTTCAGACGAATAAAGACGAATGGTTGTCAGACGTAACAAATAAGAGAAGAGAGAGAAGACAGAAGAAATGCAAAGAGAAATCAAAAGAAGATCACAAAAAAATGATCTATGTCTAACAAGGAAACCGTTTCAAGTGATAAATCGCTTTAGAGTCCAGACTCTTTGTATTAGGTAGATCCTAGTGAGAAATGCAAAGTCCTATAAGAACAAGTGCCCTTGTACCTTCCCTTGTAAGTTATTACTGTTTTACTGAAATTGGAAGCTATCACACGGTATACATCAACAAATCGAATGACAGTATTTCAACGTGAGATTTTGTTCATATATAGATATACTTGTTAGTAGCATGTTCTGAAAAAATTTCGCTCAAAAGATTGCTTCCTTCGCAAGATATTGAATTTTCAAAAATATGAGATTCTCGTCCACTTCGTGAAATATTAGTGACTTTTGAACATTCAATGTCTTGCATTGTTAAGACGAAAATATTTTTAAATTCACAGCAAACTATAACAAATCGAAACTTTGCTATTATAATATTATGCGAAGAAAGATAAAATATAGTAGAGTTATAGAGCTCGATTCGATCTATCAGCATATGTGGAAAGAAAATTTTCTTGAGGCTTACCTAAGATTTTATAGTGTCGGCGCCACTACGTTTGGCATGCTCTAAGCATTTGGTCGACGTTTGGTTTTTGATGCGCAGCCTGTATTATTTTTGCTCGTTAATTGTGTATTATGCTTTGTCAAAGGCATTATGGTTAACTTTGATGATACTTTATCAGTTAGACTATTTTTCAATGAAAATAATGATAGCTTCATCTTCACTTGAATAGTATCTTTATTTATTTCAATAGATTTTATCATATTCTTATTATCATCTATATATATAATGTTCAGTCTTTGTGCGTCTGTCTGTGCCGAGTCAAAAGCTACAAGTTAAAAGTTAAAGGTTAAAGATCGAAGGTTAAAGATTGAATAAGGCAATAAGGGGTAAGACTATAAGGAAATAAGGCTATAAAGAGGTAAGACAATAAGAGGATGAGACTATAAAGTGATTAGGCTGTAAAGAGAGTAAGCCTATAAGGAGGTAAGACTATAAGGGGTAAGGGTATAAGCGCGTAAGGCTACAAGAAATTTAAAGCTATAAGGCCATAAGGCTACATGGGCTGTTAGCGATATGAGAACGTCACGCCATAGGGCCTCTATGTGTATAATGTCGAATGTCTGTGTGTCTGTTATCGGCTGAAAGGTTAAGTTTCTGAGGTCGTACATAAAAGAAAGAAACTGTTGTGCAGCATGCACGGTTTCTCGCTAGTTAACAAATATTTTACGAGTTTTCGTGGTTTATTTCTTATTCAAATTTTTTAGTATAAGAAAACTTCTATTAGAATATGATTAACCAGGGTGTGGGTGTGGGTGTGGGGTGTGATTCTGGGTGAGATGTGGGTGTTGATGAACATGCATTTCTACCCACATCCTGCACTGTGATACACACCACATATATTGACTCGGTGTATAAGAAATTCACATTAGTATTCAAAATTTTGAATTTCTTTTCAAAGACTGTGACAGATCTTTCAGTATTCAGAGTTAAACAAAAAGAAAATCTTTCTTGATCTTTCCAGTTCGAAATATGAGAATTAAATTTTTATTTTTTACGTATCTTTCATCATTTATTGACTATTTGATCGTAAAACTGAATTGAGTCGATAGATCTGTTTGAGATTTTATTTGATATTATTCAAGTTTTTGGATTATCAGTCAATCGAGAGATAGATGAAGTTCGATTCTTATTTGATTGAGATAAATGTTGATTACGAGTTATTTTTGCCTGGAGTTGAAGAATTCAATGAATTTATTCGATTATTATTCATATTAGATATTCGACTGCGTTGAGTTAAGCACAAAGATTTATTTTTGTTTATGTCCATCATTGATTCTTTCTTCAGGGCAATACATTATTTTAATTATTCCTTCTTCTTGTTTAAAAATAATTCTTGTTGTTTATTAAAAAATAGAAGTCGAGCCAAGATATGATTTTATAGTAATGAAATATTTTTGTTTCAGTATAAAGAAATTATCATAATTCTTAGATTCTAGAAGATAGTATTGTATTATTTATCTGATGTTGAAATTTTTCCAGATTATTTCGATTGACTTTTTTCTTTCATTTTTATTATTTTATTTGTACTTTTCTTTGATTTCGAATGGTGTTGACGAATTGATTTACTTTTGTCTATTTCATGTTGTCGCCATGATAAAGAATTTTGTTTTCCATTTTCACTGGATTTCATCTCATTTGCTAATAGAATTTGATCGTCTGCTTCGTATATTCTGATGCAATTATAGTTGATTTGGATCGATTAAAAGGAAAATCTAATAATTGTTCATAAAAAAGTGGATCTTGCAAATCTGATAGATAAATCGAAATTTCGATTTTCATGTACAGATAATTTTAAATATGATGAACCTGAGTTTTTTTCATTATTTGGTAAAACTGGCCGAGCTTAATCGTTTTCATTAATTAATGACTGCTGATTATTTAATGATGGTTTTTCAATAGTCAGATCAATTAGAGAGAAAGAATGATAAATACTGTTCGTCATAATGAATTTAAATATGAGGGTAAAGTAAAAAGAAAAAAACAAGAAGAAATAAAAAAAGTAAAGAAGATAAATTAAACTTTATGAAGACGAAAAAATTCGAAAGCTCATTATTAGTTTTTATTATCAGTAAGAAGTCTTTTTTATCTATTTTTTCCTCAACTGGTTTCAGTCGCAAACTTATGGAAGAAGGCAACAGGTCCAGCAGAAGTACATAACATTATCGTGTAAGCCTATAGAGTGGGAGAAAGCATTTTATTCTTCGGAAAACTTAATCTTAGGAACAATATTTCAGGTGCGTGTGGATGCATGTGTAGAGTAAAAGAAAATCCGCATCCGTAAAGACTCTTACCACAAATCTAATCCACATTCTGAGTTTAATTACTTTTTTTCAAAATACTTTCATATTCATTAAAAAAAACATAGTTCATATATAAGTTTATATTGAAATATACACATCACATTGATACAAGAATAAAACAATGCTGAATAATTTAATGGATATTCACTCGAATAAATCATAGTATCAAATATACCTATTAAGAACTTCATTCATTATCAAAGAACAACACATACGACAACTTTTTTCGCAACTAGCGAATGGAAAATTCTTCGTTTTTACTAAGTTCTATAATTGTTCAGTCCTGATCAATATATTACACTGAAAAATAACGATGCATACCGATTTCCGATAGTAACTATTACCTTCTTTTACAGAGTCAAAATATCTTTTATATACAAGAAATTATTGCACAACTTAAGAAATTTGCTTTTGTAACAAGATAATAAAGTTATTTTAGTTTAAGTTGCAATAATGATATAACATTCAATCTAAAAGAGAAAAATGACGTCATATTTATTGTTGGAAAAATACAGGATAAGATTAGACGAAGTATGCTGCAGTCATAAATATGCTGGGGAAAATTACACGAAAGGAAAAAAAATAGAAAAAACCTGATAAGAGTGTATAAAAACTAGTAGAGAAATATGTTACGATTAGTAATACCCGTTTCAAGTAAGTGATAGAGCACAAGTGCTTGTACTTTAGTCCACGATACTAAAAAATCCCTATCTTATTTTTTCAGTTTAGCTAAAGGCTTCAGAAGTAAGTTACGAATTTAACAATGATTTTTATCAATAATGGTTATAGGAAGATGTATCATGTATCATGGTATTCATTAAATTAAATATACGAATATCTTTGTTCTCGAAGTGACTAGCGACAACTATTTCGTCAGTAGTATTGTGAACTTTTTTTTAGATATTTAAAAAAGAAACCTTAAACATAGTAGAGAAAATAAAATAAAACTGAGTACTGAACAACATATTGCCTAAGCAGTGTGACAGAGGAACTTTGCGACTTTTGATTGGCTATTTTCTCAATGAGACACTTTCGATCTCAACAAAGTTTTTTGTCCAGTTAATTTTTGTTCAAAAATTTTTTCTTCGTAGCAAGAGGTGTAAAATTTTTCTTTGTATCTAGCGGTCTGTTACTGTTTATATGCGTAGCTGTTCCTGCTTAAAAAACACAAAACAAAGATTCTCGACTTCTAGAATCGTATTTTTCGTTACTAATTTTCCCAAGACTTGGATTTATAAAAAGTATTCCTTCTATAATAGCAGGCCTAGAAGTTCAAGCGCTACAAAATGCTCTTTATCATAAAGGCTGAATTGTTTTTCTAACCTAGGGATAAGAATGAGATCTTTCTCTTGACAGAAAGGCACCAAAAATGAATAACTAGACATTTTGTGCAAGTGGCTTTTAAAAGACAATAATAATATTTATCAGAAAGTTTGGTGTTGTGTTTCAGAAAAAAGATACATTTCTATGCTTTTTTTATACTGCGTTTGAGTAACCTATGTAAAATTAGCTCATAAAGAGAAATGACATTTTATTCAAGTAAAATGTTGAGCAAATTATGTTTTTTTGATATCCAACACTTTTAGTACTACATGAAAAGAACAAATATTTATTTTAAAAGGATTGTATCAATAAAATCTATGCAAAATTCTCTATCTTTCAACATCTGAACGAAACTTTCAGATCAAATTTAACTTGAGAGAACGGACTATGAAAAACCAACAATTTTTTCGGTCATGCTCATTAAGAAAACAAAAAGAAACTAAAACTTGTATATTTAGATAGTAACACATTCAATATATGAAACTAAAATTAAAAAGAATCAACAAAGGCGTAGAAAAGTAAATATTTATCATGGAGTTCTTTAAAGATATATATTTTGTCTATTACAGTATTGTTCAAGTATGGTTGGTTTTGATGCACGAAACAAAGACACTATCAATCCATTATACATGTGCCGAGTGTGCGATTTAATTTTACGAGATCCTTATCAACTTTTTTGTGGTCATCGTCAATGTAAATCTTGCATAGAAATTGTTGAAGGGTATTTATAAATAAATTGTTCATTTCAATTTGAAATACTTGTATTTTTTTCATCAAGGGAAATTATTAAATGCGCAGAATGTCACGAGAAGTCACCAAAAAATGAAGTCAGTTTTTGAAATTGATTTCTTTTTATTAAATAATTCTTTGTTTTTTAAAGATAATGCCTGATCGAGGTTTCAGAAATGATATGAAACCGTTATCAATTACATGTTCATTATGTCTATGGAATGGTTCATTTAAGGATTATGAGGTAAAATAATCGTATTTTATGAAAATTTATTTTTATTGCAATTGCAATACATTTCACAATAATTGAAAATTTTAACAAAAAAAAGTTTTCAATTTCATGATTTAAAATAAAACAGTTCTTTTATTTTTATTCTACGATGAATTCATATTTCAGGAACATCTAAAAACAGATCATACAAATCCAATATGCGATTTTTGTGAAGAAAAATTTAGTTCAACGATTAGTCTTTATGAACACAAACACAACGAATGTACCAAAATTCGTGTACCTTGTGCACTTAAAGAAGATGGCTGTTTGGACTCGGTAAGTTGAAATTATTCAAACAAAACTTTCCAAGATAAAAAACGAAAATCAATATTTTTCAATTCTTTAAAGTTTAGCTTTAAATTAAAAAGATACTTCTCTTGTTAGCTTATCTAAAACAACGATTATTATAGATAAACTCTATATTTTATTAAGTCCATCCTTTTCCGCGAAAAAAGTCAATTTTGGTCAAATCCATCAAATTTCTGATTTATAGTTCGTTAGATAGAGCAAAGTGTCTACTCTCGTATGTAATATAGTTTATTCATTTTGTGATGAAATTTCAGGGTATTGTTTGGGTTTTTCTGAGTCCTCACACAGAAAAAAAAATTTTTTGTTCCGTAAAGAATTAGGTTTTTGAAGTCTTTCAAACTTCTCTATTGGCTTTTGGCAGTGATGAACATATTTATATTTGTTCATTTGAATCGTTCTAATCGATAACCTATAACAAATGACTAGAAGATCCCTTTTATACCAGTTTACGGAGGAAAAAGTGTTGAATTACAGTACTGAAACTTATTTTTGCGTTTTTCTCCTAATAGGATTTTTAATTTTGACGTTGTCGTGCGTCCCAGATTGCTTCGTCATTTCAGACGCTCGAAGAGTGAGCTTAGTGTCAAAATGAAGGCAAAATTTAGCTCTACAACTTATCAGAGCTGGATGTTTTTATTTCTTCTTTAATGTTTATTAAAAGCTAATCGTTCTAGATCTAAACCTCTTGAACTTTCCATATTTTATCACAGAAGTTTTCTAGAGATACAAACAAGGAGAAAAGTGGACTCTGCTAAGTTAATGCGCCATGTCTTGACTACATTTTAAAACTAACCCGAACTTCGAACTATTTGAAATGGCAGAGAAATTTGGGATGCACGAAAACCTAAATTTTTGACCCGTTAAGCTTAACCTAGCTGTTAGCAGACTGAATATATCGAGCTGAAATTTTTACTGTAAGGTGCCTTGCCTGAGACACAACTCTGCTGAAAATTTTATTAAGATTGGGTGCTCCAAAAAAAAAACAAATTCTTTTAATGAAGGAGTCCTTAAGATAAAATATTAAGGGTTAAACATAAAATGTTAAACTTGTTTCTATTATCTTTCTTATGTTGGAAAAATTCATAAAACAAGCATTATTGTACAATTTCATTAGATCTGTCGAGGTGAATTACAAGAGCATTATTTGAGTGATATTCATCAAAAAGCAATAATAAGTATTATACGTCGCTTATTCTCCAGAGGAATAAATGAACGGCATGAACGAGTGTCGGGAATGGATGTTGATACTGAGCAAGGTACTTCTAACTCAATAATTACAACAACAAATGACAATATGAGTACACCCATGCAAGAAATCTATGAAACACTAAATATTCTTGCTAGTGGAATTCAAACATTAAATGATGATACACAACGTCTTAGTAGTGAATCAATTCGATTACAAAGTTCAATTGAATCTGTGACACAAGAGTTTTCATCGATTAAATTGAGTATTCAAGAACAAAGTTCCTTTCTAGATGGTGTTAAACCTAATCAAGAAATTCTTCAACAAGATGTTGCATCACTGAAACAAAAAGTTGATGATATGCAATATGTATCTTATGATGGAACATTAATATGGAAAATAACAAGTTTTCATGAGAAAATGAGTAAGTTTAATTTAAAAAAAAAACAACAACATTGTATTATTGAAATAAACGATTCAGTTTATTTGTCTGTAACCATTTTACCTTTGCAAGATTATAGCTCAACCAATGAAAGACATGTCTTTAAGATGTTATTTTTAATATGGGTAGTATGCATTGTTGATAGTTTCATCAAAATTTTTTCAAAACCCTTTGAATTCACTTTCGGTCCATGCTCGTACTCCTTTACGGGAATGGCGAAGAAGTATTTTGGTTATCATCGTGGGAGAGTACGGACTTGGGTCAAAATTCGATTGAGAGCTGTCATCAAATCAATCGTTGGAATATTCTTAGGAGCCACTCATAACTTGATTTTAACACAAAACCGAAATATTTTGCGGACTGAAAAAGGATATTACTCATCGTCCTTCTTTTTAGAATAGAAGTAGTGTTCTAAAGATCTATCAGACTTACTTACTACCTGAGTGATCTCATTACAATGATAACTCTGGGTATAGATGTATGCATCAAAGTCTCGTCAATATCATAGAGAAAACCGTATTTCGATATCAGATCGAGTGGGTGTGGCGTGTATGCTTGGAGATGTGAATATTTGGTCTGAGTCTTCCCTTCATTGAAGTCCTGCTTAGCACTAGGATATCCAGAAATTAAAAAAATGAGGATTTTTTATTTTAGGGGTCACGGACCGAAAATTCCATAGACGGAAATTCTTGTAACCCACTATTAGGTATGCAATAGTTGACAATTATCGCTCACTAAAATCAATTCGAAGAGCGATGACTCATCTTCGTTCAAATATACTATGCACTTGTGGGTCATGCGATGAATCTAATTCTACTTTTCTACAAAGTAATAAGAGCTCCAGCTCAAATAACTGAGAATTGTTTGATCAATATCAGCTGAGCTACACAAAAAATATTACGAAATGTGATGAAAACTGATCGATTTTTGATTGAAAATAGATGTAAATGAAACTTTTCCGTTCATGAAAATCTGCTTTTTGGTGTTAGACTTAGATTTTATCAGATTTTCAAAATATTTTCGAAGCTGTTTAATTGATTGCAATCGATAAGTCGTTTTGAACCTATTTGGTGGATTTGAAAAAATCTTAGAAATTAGATTTCAATACAGATGAAAATAGTTTCATTAAAATCAATTCTTAATAAGTAAAAAGAATCCATTTTCATGAGATTTTCTGATTTTTTTAACCTAATAAATGAATAAACTGAACTTGTCAAACATATATTTACCGTTACTAGAGGATGCTATTGTTACGTAATCATAACTAATCGATCCTAACCAAAACCTATCCGATATATAACAGATAGGAATGCTCTCATAGAAGGGCAGGAGAAACAAGTTTTATTTCAACAGGACCTACCAAGACCATGCAAGGCAACAAGACAAAGTAGATTATAAAAATATGCCTTGTGATGGTCTCTAGATTTGCAGGTATCAATAAAACTTAAAAGCATGTTTTCATTGAATTATTCATTTTCTAGTGGACGCTCAATCTGAACGACAAACATCGATTTATTCACCTCCATTTTATTCGTCACCAACTGGCTACAAAATGCGAGCCCGACTTTATCTAAACGGCGATGGTAATGCTCGACGTACACATATGTCATTGTTTTTTGTTCTTATGCGTGGCCCAAACGATGCTATATTAAAATTTCCCTTCAATTATAAAGTCACGTTTTGTTTGTATGATCAAAATCCTCAACAACGACATATTATCGACTCCTTTCGACCTGATATTAAGTCGAATAGTTTTCAAAGACCACGATCAGAAATGAATATTGCTAGTGGTATACCTAAATTCTTTCCATTGACGATGATTCAACAAGAAGGTAATCCATATGTTCGAGATGATACAATGTTTATTAAAGTCATGGTTGATTTTGGTGATATGCCAAAAACATTGTTACCATATGCATTGAGTCTTAATCCTGGTTTACCAATGCATATACAACAGTTAATGGTTAAACAAGAAACAGAACGAAGAGCACAACAACAATCTCAGCAAACACCTACATCACCGGCAAATCATCCCATAAGGTCAACGGTGCCACCCAATACCGAAACGCAGTCAGGTCAAACAATATTTAATATTATTCCATCACCGAATTCGACAAATACTAGTGATAGATCGCAAGATTCAACCAATAATCAGAATAACCAAGACCTTGGGTAACGTCGGGACAGAAAAAAAAACCAAAACGATGTTTGATTTGTATAGACTTCTCTACAAGATGGCTTTTTATTTAGAAGTCGAATTATTGTTAAGTAAGCTACGAGATTTCGGCGATGAATCTTTTGAGTCTAGAATATTTGAGATTTGAATTATTATTCTTCCAACACTTGCACTTTTGACATTTAATATTCTTGGTATGTCAGCGTATGATCGCGTCTGTAACACATAATTTATTTCCCCTCTTAGCAATATTACCACTTTAACACGTTTAATTAATAATGTTGCTTAGGTTCGAATTAAATTAGTAGTGCAGACAAGGTCTTGTCCATACTTGAAACTGGTAGGATTTTTTCGACTGGACCGATCCCAACGGTTGAAATTAATGTTTTAACCGACAAAACCGTCTAATATATCAACTAATCAATTATTTCTATTGAGAAACAGTCTATTACTTCAGTTCTACGAAGACATATAATATAAAACTCATATAAACGTTGGAGTTTCTAATAGTAAAAACTCCTGTTTTAGTATATCACATCTCATATATGCTTACATTAAGAAAGAACGTAGAACTCTCTCAAAACATTTTTGTCTAAGAAATAAGATTGAACAGCATCTAAACCAAGCTTTGCTGACTTTTTTCAATAATGATTAGATGTCTTCAAAAGAATTGATAAATTCTTATATGAAATAACTATTTAACATAAGTGAAAGCCATCTCACCCAAGCAGACACCTTTTTTGGAAAAACACGTTGAAACGCACAAAAATTTGCCTAAAATCGCCAAAAAGTGGACGTTTTCGGCTGACACTCGCGGTTCCCGAGTGTGAGTCAAACATTCATTTTTTGCCATTTTTGTGCGTTTTCAGATAAAAAACACGTGTACATGCATAGAAAGAAGTGAAGAAGTGATCGTGTTTTTTACACTCGAAAATTGTAACTGTAATCATGGTCATGCATCTCGAGTGTGATAAAAATGGCCACTTTTCTCTTCTTTCTACGCGTGTAAACGTGTTTTTTGTCCGAAAACGTGTTTGAACGCAGAAAATCGGCAAAAAATGGGTGCTTTTGGCTCACAGTCGGGGACCGCGAGTGTCAGCCAAAACCGTCCACTTTTTGGCGATTTTAGGCAAATTTTTATGCGTTTAAACGCCTTTTTCCAAAAGCTGGTGTGCGTGGACACTTCATAAAACATACTATTGACGACCGAAATATAAGGTGAGCTAAAACACGGTTTTTATATTAGACTTCCTATTCTTAAGCTTCTTCATATGTAAATATTTTCATAGTTGTATGATGCTAGTAGTTGGCATGATCTTGGCGACAGAATGGAATATTTTGGGATATTTTGTAATGAAAACATGAACTAAAAACTACTAGCTATTGGAATTTTATTAAAATCAGTTGTAAATAGTTCAGAAAAGTCAGCTCGAAATTTTGAGATGAAAAAGTTTTAGTTTTGACCGAAATTAACTGCTAACACTTGGCTAACTTTTCTTGAGCATAATCAATTTATTCAGCATGATCTATGGCCTTCATTGTATGATGAGAATGTATGATCTCAATATTTAGAGCTAGGATTTTGACAATGGCTGGAGGTTTGTTAGTTAGACACTTCCAGGATCAGCTCTATTGATCACAAAAGTGATAGAAATGATTGAAAAAGTGAAATATCCCAGCTTTAGTGTCCTAAAGATTAATAGAAAAAGATGGTGAAAACTGATCTTTTTAAAAGTTCACCCAGTCCAAACCGACAAGCTGGCAGGTCTGATACCGGTTCCAAGTATGATCTCATAAGTAAAATAATCAACAAATATAATTTACTCATCTAAATTATTATCAAACACAAACTACAAAAAAATATGCTGATCTTTTATAACACTTTATAACTTCGTTTTAAAGTGAAACTAACCATCAAAGGTTATCTTTGTTCGTCTGTTTAGATATAAGAAATAAACCTTATAATTTTTATAAACTCAGCTGAAGTGCCTCATCTATGATGAAATTTGTGCTCTTTCAGAGAGTAACAGCGTTAACAATTCTGAACAACCAAAAAAATAATTTTATTGATTAAAAGTTATTCAGAATTGAAGATGACTTACCAAATGCATAAATGTTGTGAGTTCAAGTGTTTGGAAGGTAGTATTTCGAAACTCGAATGTTCTAGACTCAAATGATAATATCTCCTAAATTGTTGTAGTTACTTGCAATTATTAATTCAATTGTATTTTGTTAAACAATTCACTCATCGTTTTGGTTTTTTTGTTTCATCAGTTAGTTTCCTTATTTACGTTGATAATAAGATTAGAAAATATCCTTGAAAATTTTTCTGTTGAAATTCTAGGTAGGACGATATCGTAATTTATTCCTTGTAATGATAGCCGATTTAGAATAAATACTGTAGCTTGTTGGATTTGTTTAATAATAAGTGTTATGTATTATTTTCACTGATTTTTTTCCAGATGACATTTTCTTCTTTCTTCGTGAAAATTTTGATTGTTGTAACATAGATTGTCACTTTTTGCTAAAACTCATATAACCATAGTTGAGTGTTGTTCTAGTTTTGTTCTGTAAGTCTTTATCCCAAAAAAATAAATAAATAAACAAAGCCATTGAACGAAATTATTTATGAAAACTCAAACCTTACAAAAACATTCAGAACAATTAAATATTATTTGAATAGAAGAAAATAGTTTATCGATTGTTATAGAAAATATTATCTGCAGCTATCAGCATCAAGAAAATTGTTTTCTTTGTCGAAACTAAATGATACAAACAAGTGAATATTATTGTTTATGGAATAAAAACAATCAACATGTGGGTGTCGGTTGACTGTGTTCGTTGGAGCACGTTATCTCTTCTCAATTCAAACAACCACACCCATACTCTTAATGTATAACTTAATCTGTTCATACTTTTAATATTGCTCATATGATGACTGCAAGCAAATCAATACATCATAAACCGTTAGGTTTGGTATCTGTTATATAATCAATTATCTTTTACTAACATCAGAAGTTGTGCTATTTAGAATGATCAAAATCGTATTTCAGCCAACTAAATTTTAAAGAAAACTTTCGAATATTCTCGTATTTTCCTCAACAATATCATTATCTGACATCAGTGGCTGTTGTTTCTAGTTCCTATGTAAACTTACCTATCGATCTTAAATTCAGTTACTGAATAAACTATTACAAGCATCTTTGATATCCCTACTATGATTGTCATCAATCTATATCTGTATCGTTATGTGCTTTGACCAAGGTTGTTATGAGGGGCGATCGAAAAATCATATCTTATAACTTACATATACTATTTTCCTTCGTCAAATCTGTGACTTCTACAAAACAAATATCCAATTTCCACACAAACTTAATACGGTAATGATAATCAAATTAAATTTGTCAATTATTATTTCTCGTCTTGCTCTTGACTCATGATTGGAATTGTATGCTTGATATATAAAGATAACTAATCGACTATTAAGATATATTATCATCAATACAGATGTCACATAAGTATACAATAATGAATAAATAAAGCCATAAACATTTCTAAATGATGTCAGATAATGATATTGTTGAGGAAAATACGAGAATATATTTAATATTGCTCATGCTGGTATTGTAATAACTGCTAATAGAAACTAACTAACTAATCAAATGTAATAGATTGTAAGTAAATATACAATTCAATGACAAACAATATAGTATTTTCGAATTAAATGTTGAATGAAATTTAATTTAAAAAAATACTCTAATATATAAAAAATACAAAACTATAAAAGAATGCAGTTGACAGTGAAAAAAATATAGCAATTCATAATTGACAAGCCAGTAAAGCTTCAAGATATAGCAAGTTTTCAAAACTAGACAAGTCTCCAGAAATTATAAGAACAAGAAGTGAAAGTCATATTGTGCAATAAAAAACAACAAGAGAAAATATCTATTTCAAATGAGTAATAATCAAAGAGAAACGTCGATAGAAAATATTGAAACACAAAAAGGGAATGTTGTGAATAAAAATTTCAATGATGGAAAACGAGAAGAAAAACAGTAACTGAAGCAGAATAGAAACACAATCCATTAATATTTTCATGATTATAAAATATTCTCTATCATTATCGATTACTGATAAGAATAAATGTTAAATTAAAATTTTTCAAAAAAGTATGTTCTTCCTATTATATTCGTTAGATCGAGAACATTAAACTAACGAATTCATCAACAGGTGAATTATTTGTTGATAAAAAATATTTTCATGTTGACTAATAAATCTTTATTTAAAATAAAAAACTATCATATCAAACAATTCCTGTTCTTCTCAAGATAATCTTTTTTTCTTTCTCTTTGCTTTTATTTGTTTCATATTAAATAAACATTTAGTTATTCAAGCCATGAATTTTAATAAACAAAAAAATCTCATAGTAATAATAATTGAAATTTATCAAAATCAGAGATGATCTTTCTGTTCATGTGCAAAGAATATTTTCATGATAGAACCATTAAAACTTTTTCGTAGTTATTTTCTATGTGAAAAAGATATGAAGGTTTGTTTCTCACGATGCAAATGTAAATGCCATAATCATTTCATGTTCGTTATTGATATATCATTCTAAATAAAACAGGGGCTACTGTTAAATTGA